CCTACGTTGCGTGTAGCGGGACGGCTTTACTTTTACTTACTTTATTACAATTATTATTATATTTTTACTGTACTTGAAGCGACTGTAGTAATAGAACTTGTAACCTTTCAAGAAGCTACGAGATGCCCCCGGTACTTAACAGGCGTCCAGAATGTTTGGTTATGTTTGCAACACTGGCTGAAGTTGCTCAGGCGTTGCGTGAGGTGGATGCAATGAATCATGCAGATCGCTGACAGACGCCTCGAAGCTTCAGTGGCTAATACTTGTAATAATATAATAAAATACAATTTTAAAGTGGAATGACAACAATTTGCTTGATACCTGAAGTAAACTCCTACAGTGTTATTAAACGTATCTCAATGTGAAGTAAAGAATAAGTGTGAAATAAAAAAGCAGTCCCTGCTCGTAATTGAACACCACAAAATTACGATGTAATAGGTAAGTGAAGGTAAAGCTCTGAACATTCGTAACCTCTGTAAAAAGATTCCCCTGTACCCTTTTGATAGGAGGCTGAATGGGCCCTGAAATAGTCTGGGCACGATGCTGAAGAAAGGAATCCCTGCTCCTTCCACAAAACATTGAGCCCTGGTCATCCAGTCCGTAGCTAGCAGTTAATGCGAACTGAGATGATGTACCCGTGTGCAGCGTAATTTCAATGAATGAATCTGGGCTTTGACTAAGTGTTGCTTTTCGGAAAGACTAGTTGTCGACCCGCTGGATGTAACGTATGTTAAATACAATACGAGCAGTCAAAATGGGTCACACGAGATGTTTACGAAAATCATGTTTTTCTTCTTGCAAATTGATGTCACTTCGCACAAACATTCAAAAACACACATCAACGTTTTATTGCGTGTGCATATCTTTTCTTTAGTTAAACCAGGCTTTGCGTCTGTTGCTGAGCTCGCGTCCGAATGCACAGCTTTACGTGCTTTAGTGTCTCTGACCTGTGATGAACCTGACAACTATAACTTTTTATGCCTAGGGGAATCTGCCATATATGGAAATAAATATGCAGCTTATGTTTGCACACATTAAAAATGTATGTATGTACTGTCACATAATCTAGTCTATAAACATAAAAAGAGAAATTATTTCTTATATCTAATTGAGGCATTGCATTATTTTTTTTTTTACATATTTGATTGAACTTTCTCTGTACTTTTAAAAGCAATTGGAAGAGGAAATTTTTTTATGGGGCAGTGATAAGTTGATGGCATTCCAGCAAAGTTGCCTCATTTTTGTACGGATGAAATATATTTTTGTCACCTATATTGTAACTTATTGTTAATATTCATAAATACATGGAACAACCACTGTTTTTATATACTAAGACACTAGCATTTAATAAAAGATTATCGTATCATGTCCCGTGTCCATTATTGTTCATTCACAGCAACCATTTTAAGGTTAAGTACCAATTTTGTTACTTGTGAATCTATGAATGTATCTCGGCAGTTCTTGGCATCCATGAATTGTATTTTTCATGCTTTGTAGGTCACTGAAGATGCAGTTATCAGCCTCTGGGTTTTGTAGAATCAAATGATTGGAGGCAAGCCATTGTAAGCAGAGAGAATGTGGCCATGAACATTTTAAGGTAAATGTAGTTTATATAATATTAAATACTTGAAGGGTGTATAAGAAGTTAATTTGTCTTTATCTCCTTTTCAGATGACCTGTTGCATTTGAATTTTGATTGGAAACAATCTCACATTTCTTAACCTCACAATGTTGAGTCAGACATCTTACATACTTTTCCAGATGGTGTATCAATGCTTATTGCATCGTGTAGTTGGTACAAATTACGAAGCTCCTCATTTTGCACCTTTCTATAGCCTCTGGTTACTTTCTCAAATTTAAATATAGAAAATTCTTTAATTAGCCACAGTTTTAGGTGGCAGAAATTGGCTAAAGCGATGAATTAATATTATATCTAGTGAAACAGATTAGGGTACTTGTGGGTTATTAAGACACATCACTTTAAAAATAGGTTAGGTTAGGTTAGGTTATCTTAGGTTAATGTGTGTGGATAAATGACATACTTGAAAGTTATTATATTTTATTTCAATAAATGACAACTAACATAACCTAACCTATTTTTAAAGTGATGTGTCCCAATAACCCAGATTAGTTCTTAAGACTGATTTCTTTTGTAATCTTTGTTTAAAATGCACTGCCGAGGCGTATTCAAACTTGCAACTGCCAAGCACGTGAACATGACACATACATTTGCTGAAACTATTCAAAATTAAAGATAAATTTAACAATTGATGCCCCATATTGGTTATAAGGTACAGTCTGTACTTAAACCATAAGTAAGTGACTGAGATAAGTGAAAAAATTCTAATGATAATTTATTGGTTATAAGGTACAATCTGTACTTAAACCATAAGTGAAAAAATTCTAATGATAATTTAAATTGAGAAATGTGTGTGTGAGAGGTTGAGATTAAAGCACCACAAAATTATTTAGAACAATTTATTACACTCAAGTTTAGGACATATAACATATACGTGGAACAGTATCACCAATTACGTGTTTGGAGAATATAAAAGCTTTGCACTTTCGCCTTGTTAACCAACTACATTTTCCTAAATGTATCATAATTACATAAATAAAATGCAGTATGACTAATAACACTTTTTAATTCATGTATAATAAAAGGCCACCAAAAATCAACCCGAACAAAGAATTTTGGAAATACCACTACAGACAAGGTCAGGACAAAAAGTTGTGGTTTTTATTTATTTTTTGTTGTTTACTCGACAATGCTGTCGCTAGCTCGAACTACACAACATAAGATGTTTAACGGATCGGAAAGGAAGTGGTCATGGCCTAACTTAGGAATTATCCCATAATTTGCCTGTAACGGCTGAGACTGAGATTTTACCTGGGACCTCCTGAATATAAATCAAAGAATGCTAACCACACAGGACCCAATATTCAGTCATGGACATTTATGAAAAAGTATATGTAAAGTCATAAATACATTAGTCTGAATAAAATTCATCAACAGACAACTTTGTTTTTCATGGTTCCTTATTTTGCTTTGCATGAAGGAGACTAGTGATGTATATTACTAAAATTATAGTCATATAATTGGCTACTGTTCCATGTGCAACCATTTAAAGTAATAAACAATTATTTAGAAATATATCAAATAGTTTTTTTTTTAAACTATACCCAACAAGCCAGTACATCAACTTCAATACATAACTTGGCTAAAGCTTTCAAATTATTTGAGTGATGCATAAAAGGCTACTGTGTTTTTTATTTATTGTGAATTCAGTATATATCTGCATTTTTCTCATGAATTACAGCGCAAATATATAAAAGAAAACACAGAAAAACAAAACAGGATGGCGCACATGTGCACCAAATTAACCATTTTGTGTATTGCCAAGAAATCTGGTGATTCGGGATTAGTCACGATGATGAAAATGCATCGGTTTTTGAACGTATAACCAGAAAAACCAAATATTCGCGGAACAGCCTCGGTGGCAAAAGCAGAATGTACGCTTGATACAATAATTTTCTTCAATGTATGTTTGGAATTAGAATTAACGGGTGATTTTATTAGACTGAGATGCATTATTTTAATGGAAAATTTCACACAAATTCCATAAATATATTTCCACTCACCCAATACATGTTTGTTGTTTGTTATATGTAACGGACAGCGTAACTTTTACTTAACTACTCTAACAAAATCAGGGTATAATGGGGAAGAGCCAAATTAAAGTGCCCCTCCCCCTAAAAAAGGAAAGAAAACTATTCTTTTAAAGATTCATACCTCATCCTAGTCTAGAGCTACAGCTGTCAAAATAATCTTGAACAAATGACAATAAAATCCAGTCTCATATTAAAGTTGCCTAATCTCCCAATCACATTTAATTAAAACTACTTAAATACAAAGTTGCGCAAGGCAAAGAAAAATGTGCATAATGAAAGAAAGAAAGATCTCTTGTAAAGCTTCGTTATGGCTAATATTTTGCGTTTCTTTGACGATAATTATAAATTAGGTTCCTGTAACTGAAGGTCTTATAACAATTTAATTTAACAGATACAGGGCTTTCCTAAAAATTCCTTAAAATAAATAACTGCATATAAATATAAAAGAAAATACATTGAAACTACATTTTTAAAATTACAGTTTCCAGTGAAATCTTGCTTCATTACTTGTGTTCACTGTTCAATTTTTTTTCTAAGATCCCCAATAACCCCACAGCAAATACACTCCTGCATATGGGAAAGCAAACCACATATGCCCATTATTATTAGCGGCACTAGTAAGCGAAGTACGTAACATCAAGCAAGATATCATTACGCTTTTCCTAACAGAGAGCAAAGTTTACTACGACTAACTTAAATCAATTTAAAGTATAAAATAAAGATGGGATATTTTAAACCGGAGGGCCATCTCTTACATTTCTAAACGATAAAAATATTCTCGCACAAAGAAGTTATATAAAGATCATTTTACATCCATTATAATATGCAGGTTTGTGCTTCGATAACTTAAATGCCAGTCTCAAAAGACCATATTTATGCATTGCAGTTTACGCGTGATCCGACTGACCACGCGTCGCGTTCGCTAAACCGTTAACCCTGAAGCTAAAATCCAGTCTACGGCCAGATAAAGGTTAATACAGAAAACTTGTTGAAACTGTTGCGTAATATTCAAATATGAAAGATTTACCGCGTCCTACTTCTGCTGTGATTGCGGTTTCAGAAGGATGTTATATGTAGCGTTCTAAAATGGCAAATATGTTAAGATAGAAAGAAGCAATCATTACAATACACAAAAAGATTTTAAATTAAGAGTCAACAACCATAGAATGATTTTTGGAAGAAAACATTTTCAGTAAGGCCTGGGAAGAATTCTCCAATCTTAAAAATGCTTGTACGATTATGGGCCCAAATGAAGGAACAAAAATAAGTGCCTAATGCTTACTTATTACTAATGACTAAACATTAAGTACAGAATACATAAAATTCTTAAATTAAATAAAATTAAGATGAGTATGTAGACAATAAAGATGAGATTTCATACTAAACTGGACTGTGCCAGTTAATTACAAATTACGATGGTAAAAGCTCAGTTGTGACGAGCGTCCACAAAGGCACAGGTCCAAATGAAAATGCGCGTAGTTTGACCTCCATTAAAAGTACGCTCGAAGATGTTAGTATTACAAACCTTTTTAATTATGGAAGATTAAGACAAAGAGGAATCGCACTTTCTTGAACCCCATTTTATCAACACTTTTCCTGTGAAAATTTCTACTAAATTTGTAACTATTTCACCAATGCAGCTGCATCACCATAATTCTGTTGTGTATTACTTCCAGCCAATCTGTATAACACAGAAATTATCCTAAAAGGGGAAGATTAAGACATTCTTAGTGGCAACGTTAGTGGTACCATAAAATGTTTAGGCAAACACGTGATAAAGAGTGTAGAAATAAATGAAAATTCTGTATTGCATTCTTTTTCCTCCTGAGGTCATACGGCATCAAATGAATCTCTTAGAATGATGAACAGGAATTTGGGATGCAGTAGTCAGTACCTACTTTGAGCATGGTTACCACAAACTGGGACAAAACGCAGTATATGACTTAGCTGTATGTCGTGCAGCACAACAAGAGCCGTTAGTAAAAACTATGGTTTTTCCTTTCTTTTAAGAACAAATCTTACATTTCCAAAACTTCTCCCCAGTAATACAGGCAGACGTATTGAATACAAATTCTTGGATAAAAAAATTAAGTACACATCAACGAACACCTATGAGCGAACATTTTATTGCTTTTCATATAATAAGATATTGTAGATGCGTCATATTGTGATTTATTTAAATAGTATTAGAAATATATTAAAATTGGCCGTCAATGACAATATAAGATAATTAAAAGATTAAAATATCATTTTACGTTCCTTATCGAGTACTCGATTTACATGTGGAACATTTACGACATGTTTCGGCTATATATAGCCTTATATTGTCATTGACGGCCAATTTTAATATATTTTTAATACTATTCATATAATAAATTATTTACTTTGTAAACTACGTTTCATTTTTCAGATTTTCTCATTACATAATTCAAAGTAGAATGCTACTATTTACGAAATGTATTCCACAAAACCTTCTTCCTGTGTCTAAGCCATTGCACTGTGCCATCGATATAGAACAGAACATTATAATTTAAAAATTCTTTAAAATTCCTTTTAAAAAAGAAAGTAGCACCCGAAATTAGGAAATGAAGATATATTTTTTTATATTTGGAAGGCAGTGAATTACAACTGCAGAACACTTTTGTGTTACAAATACACTGAAAATATGACGGCGAAGTCAGTAGCACTTTCCGCAAAAGTTAAAAGATTAAGTAAACGCTGCAAGATTATATGGTTTGCGTAACAGACATAAACAAACGCAGCTGCCGAAGACAGTTCGTTGCGCAAAACCAAGTTATATCAAAACTGTCAAGATGGAGTCAAACTGTTAACACCATTCTTCACAAATCATTAAGTTTCCAGACATGAAATAACTTTTTTTATAGAATTAATATTTTTACCTTTGTGGACATTCTTTTTTTCCTTCAATACATCAACCATTACGTATTAAACCGCGTTCGGCAGAACGCTGCCGATTTAAAATTCAGCCAATTCACTCTCGCCCGAAGGAATTTGTACAGATCTACACCCAAAACAAATGATAAGTTATCAACGGAATAATCCAGCTGTTCTTTGAGATATTGCGACAAAACTTTTATAAAATGTAAGCTGCTCGGATTAATCTGAATCACTGCCACCTGAATTAATTGATGACATGGACTCATAAGGTGTTATATTATAGTAGACGCTCGCAAATGACGAGCGGAGAGACGGGGTAATTTCTTCGACACCTGCTAGAGGTGCCTGCAGTCTAGAAGAACCACTGGATACTTTGCGTTTAATAGATGAAATGCTAGAAATCCTTGAAATGCCACTGAAATTAGAAGAATAACATTAATAATAAAAAAAGGATCTGTTGCGTTCTACAATCACAGCTGATAAGAAATGGACTGTACAGTCCAGCGTATTTGCTACGTCACTTAAAATAGTATTAGAACAATTGTAATCCCTTTTTAAAAAATTTAGTTCATATTATACTATGTACCTCTCATCTGTTTAGGCTTCTTCAACGTGGCTACGAGGTCTGAGAACGATGCGAGGGTCTGATTCAAGCATGCGTTCACTCTCTTCAACGCTGAAACAGACACGTGCAAGCAGATGCATACATACGCAGATGTTAGTAAGCATGTTACTTAAAACAATTTACTACACACCTGCTCACTAGAAGTATAAGAGTTTTATCTGTGACAGATGGTTTATCTGATTATATTAAAAGCGAGGAAGAGAGGAGAAACAACAAATTTACCATATTTTTACACATTCAGCGTAACACAGGAAACCGCAGAAACTGTGTGTTTACTTTGCTGATATATTTTACAAAAAGAAACTAATTATAGGGAACACGTGGAAAGAAAAATGGATAGATGAAAGAATGAATGTGTACATACGGAAAGAAGGTATGTGTGTATTTTGGAACCACGCTCGATACGCACGACATTATTATTTTATTTAGTGTTCTGTCTGCCGACAGGTCCGTATGAACAGGATCCTTCCATCCTTTTCTCGGACTGGGACCTGTTCATATACGTTCTTGGCAGATGATCCAGAAGTGGTTTGCCATTGCCTTCTTCTGTGTGTGAATGGAGTAATTGTTGGGATGCCACGGAGGAAAACTCCGTGTTGCCTAGACCACGGCCTTGCCCAACACAAGTTATAAATTCGGGTACCGCCGGGAATCGAACCCGAGACCCCAGGATTACAAGGCCAGCGTTCTAACCGCTAGACCACAGTGGCGTGAGTTTAATTTAAAGACACTTTTTTCTTTTAGGCACGACTTCATCCAAGTTGCAGATCAATTACGGACCACTTTTTTCTACAGAATGTCATATGAATGGGTTCAGTCGCAGGTAATTTAGTCGTTACAAAGTTTCTTTCTCTTATATTTGTGGCATTAGTTTTTTAGTTATTTAAATAACGTGAATAACATTTACATAATCTCCGAACGTCAGCTGATTAATTTTAGGAAGTTCTCATGCCTTTGGATAAATGCACGGCTGAAACACTGAATCATTATGTGAGAGCTTATCAAAAGAGCATTTTATAAATTTAATACAGTAAGCAATGCTTTGGTTTGCAGGACAGAGCAAGGCAAACTACACATTTAAATTCATATTTTTTAACAATTGTAAATGTTACGGGCAGTGGTCGGCTGGTTTCCTGAAGGTCATTAAATTAAGCATTACACCAGAGTAATGTGATTTATACTCTGGAAATTGCTCCAGAAATAATAATAATAAAGAGGGAAGACTTTCCTGGCTTCATTCAGCTGCCAAGCAGACGCCCACAAAGTTTGATATTGCATCTACTTTTAAGATTCAATAATCCTCTTACAATTAAATTGATCGTATTTCAGCATCTGATTTATTGATGCTGTGACAGATTCGGGGGTTATGTAATATCAGATGCAACCCTAACTCCCTGATTGGGTACAAAAATATAATTTAGAAAAAATATATATGTTACTAGGTCTTTCAGAGAGAAATGCCATTGAATAAGTCATTTTAAAACCACACAAGTCCACTTCTTGAGAAAACTGAACAATTTCTACCAGGGACTAATGCGTTCCATCAAACCCACAGCAATTGCAAAAGACATAACCACATGAGTCACGCAGTGTTCCTTTTAATTTTATGTGGGGTACTTATAAAAACAACATGAGTCTAGAAATAACTTTAGCTCAAAACTCTGTGTGCATAAAAAGTTTAAGTGAACTGCCTGTCAATTTTTATTGATGAAAAAAATAAATAAAACAGCAGTGTTAATTAAAATGGTTTTTTACTTCTCTCAGTAGTGACTTTTGTGGACTCTAATGGTTTCGCAAATGACTGGTTCAGTTAGTATCGCTACGACCTTAATCTTTGCAGTTACACAGCCAAGCTGATTTTATAAGTCATTCACTTCTACGAAAAGATCGGCAAACAAATACAAATATAGAACACAAGATTGACCACACACACGTCTGTGATCGGAGGTCACAGACGAAAACGGATGTTATTTCAACTTAATACTTGTTGGTGTGAAGCATTACAAAGGACGCATGCCTCACAAATAGAATGACATGAGGTGTAATGAATATGTAAATAAGAGAAAAGTGATAAGGAGAACTAGAACACTACATTTTGTTCCAAAAGCAACAACAAACCACAAATTCACGTTTTGAGGTCAATCGCTGATGAATATGTCGCTGATAGTGGCTTTATTATTATTATTATTAGTGTTCTGTCTGACGACAGGTCCATATGAACAGGATCCTTCCATCCTTTTCTCGGACTGGGACCTGTTCATATACGTTCTTGGCAGATGATCCAGAAGTGGTTTGCCATTGCCTTCTTCTGTGTGTGAATGGAGTAATTGTTGGGATGCCACGGAGGAAAACTCCGTGTTGCCTAGACCACGGCCTTGTCCAACACAAGTTATAAATCTGAGCACCACCGGGAATTGAACCCGGGACCCCAGGATTACAAGGCTAGTGTTCTGACCACTAGACCACCGTGGCGGTATGATAGTGGCTTATTCCATAAAAATGAAAGATGAAGATTTGTATTGGTTCATATTCCATAACTCTTTCCTACAGATAACACCGCAACTTATGTTTAAAAAACAGGAGTCCATTTCTATAATCCGCTAAGGACAAACCTGTTTAACAAGTGTCATTTTCTGACGCCCTAACATCGCACTTATGTAAGATAAGATTATGAAAAATTTGTAGAATATACGATTTTTTACGAAGAAGAAAGTGAAAATTTATGTAAAATACTAAAGAACTGTTGTGCCAGAAGGTTTTGGATGTATTACCAAAAAAAGTTATGATCCTCATTTGTTGTGTTGTTATTCTGTGTTAATTCTTTCGATGATAAACAAAAAATACAGATTAGGAAACTGAAAATCTTCAGAATACCTGAACTACTTTGTTCTTAATAAATCCTATAAGAATTTAGCAAGAATTAAACTTTGTTTTAATGAGGTAAACAATGTTTAAACACTGATCCTATGGCTTATTCATGAAAATAACTAATTGCTTTATAGTGGAAGAGTCTGTGCTCGCTCTTACTGTAGAGACTTGAAACATTTTTATGTTCTTTTAGAATGAATAAGATATTCATTAATGAAAATAACACCGAATGTCACCTATGCCATATTTATCAATCGCTACCTTTAAGAATATCACAAAAGAAGCAGCGTGAACTTTATACAATCCCCTCTCTCATCGTTAAAAGTGCGTAATTATCATTATGGGAAAATGACGAGGTAGCCTCATGAAATATACATTGCTTTTCCATTTTACGTTCATGCATTAGTAATTACTATGCAAAAGCAAATGAAGTTTGATACTGCAGGATAAACATGCCCGTACGTTTTGTATGAAGTGCTTTTTCACATATGGGGAGGGGAGAAAAACTTGGGAATGATGTGAACATGTTCTTTAATGCGATTCGGCCATTGCTTGATCAGTGCCATCTGATAAGATTCTCCTTCCATACATGATATACTGATGGTAAAATTATGTATATTTCCGTCTTCTGGGTTGTTGCGCTGTGTAGTCTGGTCGATGTTAACCAACGTTTCAGAGGTCATACTACCTCCATCATCAGGGCGATGAGTATGAAGATTTCTGTCTTCTGGGT